GCGGACGATATTGTCTTACTGTGCGATAATGCCCAAGGCATGCAATCCGCACTTAATCAGTTGGCAATCAGTGTCCGTAGGTATGGTATGTGCTTTGCACCTTCGAAGTGCAAAGTACTTCTACAAGACTGGCAGGATTCTAATCCTGTACTCACCCTGGACGGTGAGCAGATAGACGTAGTTGAGAAGTTCGTGTATCTGGGTAGCTGCATAAGTGCTGGTGGGGGTGTGAGTGATGAGATCAATGCACGAATAGTGAAAGCCAGAGCGGCTTATGCCAATCTGGGCCACCTTTGGCGCCTTCGTGATGTTAGTCTGGCTGTAAAAGGTCGGATCTACAACGCGTCGGTGAGAGCAGTTTTGCTCTATGCTTGTGAAACCTGGCCTCTCCGAGTTGAGGACGTTAGACGACTCTCTGTGTTCGATCATCGCTGTCTCCGAAGGATTGCTGACATTCAGTGGCAACACCATGTCAGTAATGCAGAGGTTCGGCATCGTGTGTTCGGGCACAGAGATGATAACTCAATTGGTGTCACCATCTTGAAACACCGACTTCGGTGGCTTGGACATGTTCTCCGAATGTCGTCCCAGAGAATTCCACGTCGTGCATTATTTGCCGACTCTGGGACTGGTTGGAAGAGGCGGAGAGGTGGTCAGTGCATGACATGGTGTCGTGGCATGAAAGAAAGCTGCAAAGGACTGGCTTGTGTTGGTCCTTCACGACTCCCTGGTTGGGGTCCGAGAGATGGTGCTACACAGTGGCTAGAGACGTTATCAGATATGGCTCAGAATAGAAGCCAGTGGCGATCCTGCTGTAACCTTCTTTTACTTTCTTTCTAAAAAGTGGTTGTGTCTCCTTTACCTGAAAGATTTCTTCTGATTGTACCTTTTCGTTCCGTCGTTACTACCACACTACCTTACTCCAATCTCTTCGTCATTGTTCTCTTTTTCTTTTGCGTTCCCTATTGTTTTTTTTTTTCTTTCTATTTCTCTTCGAATTTTCATTGTTTTGTGTGGCGCATATATATTGGCGCTCTCTTGTACCAATATTTATGTGTTCAAATAAAATAAAATAAAAACAAACGCGATTTCATTTATCCTTAACTACTTGCGAGACATTTTTCCAGAGAGGGGTGGGAAATTACAAGCTTAAAAACGATATTAATTTTGTTTAAATTTTATTACTGAAACTAAACGTTTGAACGATCTAAATTTCAAAGCAAAGATAAGAAAACACAATACCATATGAATAATCTTTTCATGATCTGTTAAACGCAACTAAACTAAATTTAGTTAGTGACAAACACATCGGGTAAGTCGATTGTATGAACTTAGCCTTGAGTTATACTTTAGGTATAAGGGTTTTGTCATACTAACTAGCTCATCAAAACCGATGTTGTTGAAACTACGTTTATTCATATTCGCCAATAAGTGTTTGTGAATTGTAGGAACAAGAAAAATAAGATTGTTTTATTTTTTTGGTTTTACGTCTCAAATACATACATTTTGTTAAATTATATAAAACGTTTGTAATAATTTTTCATTATTAAACAAACCATGGTATTCAGTTTTAACAAGAAAATAAACATTCATATGCCCCCGAATGCCCTGGTACGACCGAGAGTGGGGAGAGTCCGCTCTCCCTCTCGAAATACTCTCACACGGCCGCGCGTATACAGCCTCTGCCAGGGAAGTCCTACTCATTGCCTTCTCGTGGCGGGGTGTTGTTTACGAAAATGAGAGGACGAAAAGCGAATGTCCGGCGCTTTAACCGGATCACAAACCAATGGTGCACATGGGCTCCAGTATCCTGCGGGGACAAATGGCGTATGAACCAATCGTTGGTCACCGGCTACCATGGGACTGCATCTCCTTACCATGCTCCACTGCCTTGTGGGTTAGACCTTTAGGTCAAAGTCTCGGGAGTGCCCCCCCCCCAAGATAACCACCTGCTTCGGTCTGGGCACCCGGGCAGTATCACAGCCCACACGCAAATGATGAACTCTCTATATCTATGGAAACTACTTTTCTCGCTTCGATTCAGTTTGATAAGCTTAAGTGAACTATTACTTTACGGGCACTTTTTTGAAAAAATATTTCCTACTCTATATAAGAGTATCGTACACATGAATTATTTTCCAAACCATCCAACTATAACATGAATGAATTTTCGGTTGAAAAATAAATATTTCCTTTGACGTAAAAGTATAAACAAGAATACGTGGTATCCTATTAACAACTATAGTGCTCGACATTGTGACTAGTTAGTTAATTACTCAAGTATAAAAATAATTCATTATCCAAGAAATCAATGGTGAAATATATAGGTGAAACAATATTATTCTCAACTAGATCATCCTAAGACTACATGTAACTGGTATATAATGCAACAAATAATACTGATTTAATAAATGGCATTATGATGATTAATGAAATTAATAGTGATAACAAGAGCAAGTACAAATCAGGGATAAAAGAAACTCTGTCCTTGATATTGTACTGGATAGTGTACTTAATTTTTAATCAATAGTAAACATGTTTTAACACGGCTTCACCTACTCTTGTTTGAGTATCAAGTTAGCCCCACTATGCATCAATTGACGTGTGGTTATAAGTCGGTTACACAAAATTTTACCTGATAACTGAGTTACCTTTAAAGTTTGAAACGTACAAAAGACTACTCATCTATCTTTATTCCTTTTTCTAGTCCAAATGTTTACATATAGATAACTACATACATTCAACTTAGATAAAGCGTACATGAGTGGCCTTTTTATTTTTAAACGTCATTCCATTATAATGATTCAACACTACCTTATTTCGTCTTTCATATACAATGTACATGATGGAGATACGACTCAACAGTTCATGTATCCAAAACGACGAATTTATTTTTCAACAATCAATTAACATTGAACGATCTTACAAATATCCAACTCTTCCTTTCCCTTATTTTGGTTCTCTTCAGCAAAACATTGATTATAATACATAACTTAATTCGCACAAATGATATTTTAGTATTGAGTAATTTTTAATGATTATTTTTCAAGTCTTGACCAGCTTTGAATAATAAAGTATTGATGTATTTTAGCACACTGATTTTTTATTCAGATCACATACAACATGTTTGTCAATGATACAACTATTCTTTATTTTTTTATCACGTATATTTTGATTAAAGATATTTTTACCATGAAATGAACACGAATTAACAGCATAAAACTATACAAATGTCTTGCGAGAATTTATTAGGTAGTTTAAAGATTGCTTTCAATATGTGATGACATTATCTGGAGAAGTATTTAAGTGATTGGAGTTCTGCTCTCAATCTGATGTGGGGTCATTAGTCCAGATTACTCATAGGTCCCAAATGTGGACAAAACAGATACCCTTAAACTTCATTCGTGACAAATATTATCTTAACATTTCACCACAGAATATCTCAGGAAACAATAGTCTTGTGCCTACTAGTGAAAAACTTTCAGATGAATCTCTAGAAGCCTTAGTGCAAACTCGTATCGCCAGTACTGATGTATCCAGGATAAAAAATGTAAGAACAAAAACGCGTGCTTATATCGCAGAAGTTCATTGACAGTTTAATTAATACTGTTTCTGAATGACAAAAAATATCCATCATAAATGAAAATTTTATGCACATGTTTTAAACTACCTGTCTTTTACAAATATTTTTGTTCACTATACAATAATAAAGTAACATATATCATGATAGTTTAACAGGGATACTATGCAAGCGATCTCCATCAGAAAGTGGAGAAGACTTAAGAGGTATTGAAGAGCAAAAATAAGTTAACATATATGTTACCCTAACCCATGACTTTCCTGTTTTGTGCCTTGTTACCTGTAAAGTTATATAAGTCATTAGGTAGATAGCAATTCACTAGTGGCACCAAGATAAGAACCACTCTTTAACTCAAATAATTTTATTTAAGAAATGAGCCTCATTCTATTCAGAGTCACAGACAGAATAGTACTGTGCTCACTACGAGAAGAGAAGATAGTCGGTTTCTTTATGGTAAACTTATTAACTGATTTATTAAGTACACATTTATGTTTCTAGATTTGATACATATTTTTCAAGATATCACTCTACTCCTCAAGCAAAGTTGTTTATCTTAACAAGCTATATCTTAATGTGAAAACCCTCTTTAAATAGTCACTTTCAGACCTGTGTGATTAGGTCGCTAATAATACAGAACAGTTACATAGTACTTGATCTTATACAACAGGATTGCACAAATAGTGATAATTTGTTTGACTCTAAAATAACCTGATCATTAGAAAATCATGGCAGGGAAGATAATGCATCATCGTGCTGTCATTCAGCTTATTGTTGGTACTGATTATTAGGACACATCAAAATTTTTCAAGACGAACAAAATCTATTAAGTATCTTCCTTTCAGTTAGACTATTTAGCAAACACATTTTCATATTTTTTTATAAGAAAATTAGGTAAATTTTTCATAGTTGTATCAGCATTTTCAAGCTAGACAAATTATCCAAGTAAATATATGTTATAAATTCCAATATAAGATAATTTTAATGAGATTAATGCACTAGATAAGCTTAGACTTAACCTATTATCATTGTAATAAAAACTGAACCTGTCATAAACTAATATGTAACAAATAGATAGAAACTGAGTCTAATGATCATAATATGGATTGATTAGTTGGTAGAAAAAATATGGAGATAATACCAGAAATTCGGTGATGTATACACGGATTTGTAATTACACTATATGAGATAGTAGTGGTGGTTATACATATTAATTCTTATTCACCAATGTACTATTTACATACTGTTTAACTAAGGTATGGGTTTGGGAGAAAATATATTTTACAAAATACTGTGAATAATTTCACCAATGAAAATAAACTTATCTATTTAATTCAAAATTTCACAGTATATTGCATATGATAATCCAATTTTTATAAACCATTTTCTATATTCAGTACGCAAAGCAAATTCACTAACTTACCAGCTGTAATTCTTCAAGTGTTCCTAACCAGTCATCAAGTTCAGATAAATCCACATCCATCTTAAATCTTAAAAAGTTTCATGCTTAGTATACTTTTAAAATCTTTGAAACGTTATATAATAGTTATTTATTGCCAAAAAATATCCATAACATCTGATGTATTCACTAGCATTTCATTCCAAACTCATGTGTTACTAGTTAAGTGAAACCAAAAGTATAGTCAATATTGGTTTTAAGTCGAATCAGAATAAAGTATTGACTAAGAAAACAACCAATCATATTATTGTTTACAAATATCGACTGATCAATTTGATTGGTTGAATTATGGCTGGTTTTATCCAGTCTAAATGGAAACGGTTTTACTTTTATGATGTTTGTTAAATTCAGTGATACAAGGTCAAATAAGATGTGACTGTGTTGTCCAAGAAACTGTTGATAATAATTTAAATGGGAGAAAAGTGATTACAGTCTTTTGGCTGTCTTCTATCTTCTTTCAAGACGAATCGCAAGATTCATAAAATAGTAATACATAGTTTTATGATGATAAGATTTATTTCGATAGAACAATGAGAAAAACGGTGTTGTTCCATCGAAATTTATAAAAGGGACTAATTGTTTTAAATAACTGAATTAAATTATACACTGCCAATGATTCAACTAAAAATTACTAATAAATGAATCGAAAGAAATTTTCGAGCGGTTATTTCTTATTTTACAAGATTATTTAGAATGGAAAAATCATATGAAGTTTAATTCATTTTTTATAATGGTTGCTTGAATCTTTCCATTGATGTTTAGGACTGCAATTAATTAATCTCGTATTGGCATATGTACATCATGAGTGGATTGCGTCAATAGTGATTTAAGTCACAAGCAGCAAAAGTAGAGATAGATGGTGGGTAGTAGTGGAATCAACAATGTTCTATCCAAGACTTGTCAGCCGGATGTACATGTATCCCACTGTTTATGCTCACTCCGGGACACAAATTCTCTTTCCCGTTTTCCATTACAACGACGCTTTAAATAAATGTCAATAAACATCAATAACTTCAGTGTTTTCTTAGATTTTCCTGTTCATATAGATTGAGGAACCAGAAAACATAACGTCTTGAAATTCCAAAAAACTTAACACTGCTCAACAAGCATTATGTTGTCGTACCTTGAAAATAAATTATTCAGTAAACGGAAAAACGTTTTAGTGGTCAGAAGTTCAAGTATTTCGAAAAAATAATGGGATAAAAACACTTATAAATTTAACACACGGTTTTTCAACAGTAGTTTTATAAATCGTACATGCAAACCATACTATTTATCAGCACCCAGGGACAACTAGCTGAAAAATTCCACCTATAAAATATTTTAATTCTCATATTCAGCTAAAAGATAATACAGACACAAGTAGCGTTTTACCGTACTTACTTCAAGCAAATATATATACAATTAACTTGTATAATAATCAGTGAGAACAATAAATAAATTATTATTGATGATAAAGACAGTTATTGAGTCAGGAGGATGACCTCGTTGAAAACATCTGATCTCAATTGGGTAGTTTAACCACGAAGCTATCATTATCTATCTAAACAACAACATTATCAACACCAAAACTTAGCGAACACTTTACGATTAACTTACCCGGCTCAGAGAATAAGGTGATTTATAAAACAAAGAAATGACGTTTATGAAGTTGAATGTATCTACTTTGGTCTTATGAAACAAACTCTTAGGTTCGATTGACAATTTAGTTAGCGTTAGTGCATTCGTTGAGTTGGGGATTTTAATTATATAGATGCTCTTATATTTTCAACACCGAATTCCATATCTGATTTAAGATATGGTCCTTTATCATCGTCATTATTATCAGTTTCATTGTGCCTTCTCAGAACCTGCTGTTTTCGTAAAGCTTTGTAATCCTATCGATTACTTATGAAATTAATAATTCAATCCCTAATTAGTTGAACAATAACATGGTTTGAGAGTAAGGAAAATAATAGGGCATGAAAACAAAAGCATTCATAATAATAATAATAAAACTTTGGAAGGCTATCAATCATATCTAACGTGATGAAAACAGAACAAATTTAGTATTTTTCGAACATATATTATTATTACATTTATTCAATATTATATTTTTGGTAGAATATAGAATTCTCAGAAAAATGTATTCCAACAAATTTCCGTTTCTTACTTCTTGGTCGATACTGACGATAAATGTTGAGTGGTCGCCAGTTAGAAGTTAACAGTTCAGTCAATCTGCACCTAAATAATGTACATTCTTTTTGCTGCATATTGCCAGTAACCACAACATCTTTGATTGAACCCTTTGTAACCTGTAAAACGAAGGGTTGTACACTTTTCAAAAACACACCTGAATAGATATAATGATGTATCAGAAGAAAAAAATTAGATAACTTGTTGAAATATATAGATGGCAGGAATAAGTAGCCCAGATTATAAATAATTTATTAAAATTCTATACATTCTCCATTTACAATACTCTAATGTCATTATCATTATTAATTTAACCAGTTTTGCTGGTTAAACAAGTTTTCATGGACATTATACTTTCTATGTTAAATTGATCAATGTTATGTTTTATTCTTGAATGATGTTAATTGTTGAAAATGTAAAGATGAAACCCCATAGAAAAAAAATTTTTCAAAAAAATAATACATATTTTTTTTGTCTCTAACCAGAATCAAGTATTCAGTTAGTTTTGTAAACAAAATAGGAAAGCTTAAGTGATTACGAATTTTGTTATTTTTGTTCGATTGTAATCAGTTCATTAGATTATTGTGAATAGGTGTTGTAAATAACAAACAAACCGAAAAATAGACTACTGTTTATATATATATATATATATATATATATATATATATATATATATATATATATATATAAACAGTTATAGATTTCACAATGTTAACCATAACAATCCTTCGTTAGTATGCCTAATAAGATAAATTTATGTGATTGCACCTTTATGGTAAGTTTATTCTGTTTTTCATAGATGAAATCAAGGTTGATTGACTATATTTCATTGTATACTATATTCATATAAACTAATCTCATCATTCAATAACATACAAGTTTTATTTTGTTTAAAGTTATGTTTACAATTATGCGACAAGTTACATAATAAACTGTCAATATCTTTTTTTTATCAATGAAATTCATACATTCTATGAACTTTTCAGGACGTTATGAAGTTGAGATGTGTTTTAGAACTTAACACCGATACAATAGACATTCGTGTATAATACTTTGAAATGAAAACATTATACAAGTTTACAGTCATATACACTTACAATTCATGACTCAACTGTTCTAAATTCTTGTTATGTCCCTAAACAAGTACAGTAACATATTTACTTAAATTGAATGTTTAAAATTATTTAACACAATTTATGAATATTGTGAAGTAATTCAAATAAATGAATGTTCTATTTAGTCATATTGTAATGAATGTCGTGTCATCAAGTGGGGAAGACCAATTTATTGTTAACTGCAAAATATGAAAACCATACATCAATTACAAAATTTGTACATCATCCATCAGTTGTCTTCTATATGCTTCATGATTTTTTTATAATTCCGTTGTTATTACAATTACTTTCTGTTCAATTCAATCTTCCCAATCTTCTGCTAGCGTGCATCCCACTTCCAATTGGTGCTACATGCCGATTATACCTGTCAACACAGTATAAACCACCATATGATCATTTAGTGAACGAAACAAATTTAATTCATGTAGATATTTAGTTAAATCACTAATGATTATCGAAGTCATACACTTTTACTTAAGGATAGTAGTGAAATGCATTAAACATATTCATTACATAAGAAATCTTGATAATATGATTACGATTCAGAACACTCAACCAAAATAGTTCAATGTAATAACTTATCACACACTAAATAAATAATCCAATATATGTTGGTTAAAAGAAGATCAATCATTAGTCACATCTTACTTTGGTACTAAATATCTTCAAGGAAACCTATATTGTTTCAGTAAAAATAAGTTGATAAATATAACTATGGTCTTACCGAAGTATTGTGCTAATCATTTATTGACTATATTTCAGCAAGATTTACTTTGAAAAACAATGGAAACTTTTTATATTTAAAGATCTAGTGTTTTGCAAGCAACACATAAATCGACCCTCAGTAAAAGTTGACTTTTCAAATAAACGCACTGACACTTAGTAGATATTTAATCTCGAGAGATATTAGCTTTCTGAGATTTTCAGAAAATCAGTACTAGTCTATTAGACTTTAAAATCTATGTGAGGCTATATGGTTACTTTCTCATTCACGGAGACTGTTTAAGAATTTCAATTACTAACAAATGAAACCTTCTACGTTCATAATTAGCTCAGTAATATTTTTTAACCTCATTACAAATTTTTACTGTTTAAAATATTATGACTTTCAGTAGCCTAATGTCAGTTACATAACAACATTGTGCTTATAAAACGTAAAATTAAGGCGAATGTGCAGTAATTTTCCTACCAACGGCCACTAAAATGTAGTGAATATTAGAAATTTAGGATTAATTGGTTAACAGCTAGGTGAGCATTTCTTGATGGAGAGAAATATAGACCATATCACTTCACTAATTCATAACTATTTGTCATTATTCACCTAAATATTAAAATTGGTTAGTAAGTAAAGTCAACTTTGGCAGCATAATATAACTCTCTACGATCTTTCTGACTCTTCATTACTTTAATGTTTGAATTATGATATTATTATGATTAATTGTACTATTCACAGTGTGTAATAGTCATTGTTTACATGGTTAAAAAGAACAACATAATAACACATTAACTGATAGAATAATGTATATAATTAGAAAAATTTAATTATACAGTGTTATCCATATAATTTATTTCCAATATGCAAACCGCCTCTTATTGATTATCATCCACTAATTTAATGTTTATAAGTAAAATTGATGGTCTACCTTTAATCGACTCATGAATCCAACTACTAAAAGTTACTACAATCTCCACAAAACCCCCTCTCTGATAATAATTTTCATGTGCTTATTAGTGACTAGCTTCAAGAGGGATTTCCTGGAGTTCTATTGGGAAACCTTCGCCAATGGAGTTCAACTGGGTCTATTGTGAGTCAGCAACTCACTGAAGACAATGGTGAATGTGTCGCTCGATTTCGTAGATTAGTTGAAGTTTGATATT